TGAGCTACCAATGAAGTTTCTAATTATGGTAGCTTCCGTAATGCATCAAAAATACATGAGAAGTATATCTTTATGTGGCGTTACTATGATATGTATGGAAATGATGGAACAATCTCATTAAATTGGTTGTTGTAACTAATTTTTGTTAGGTTAAAGTACATAAGCGTCCATATCCTGCAATTAAAATTTAACTTACCGTTTATTATTGATTTCTTTTGAGAAAAATTTGAAGTACTTTCATTTTCTAATAATGCGTTTTTTGTGTGGGTATTACGTGTATGAATCAATATTTTAAAAGGCGGGGCGCGAGGCGAGGCGAGGCATTTTGCTTGATACATGACGAGGCGTAAGCCTTGAGACATGGGGCGTAAGCCCATGAATCTTTAAATGTTTTAATTTATAAATTAATAATATAGCATTATAATACAAAAAATATAAAAAGTACATTAAAAGTTCAAGAAAATTGAAAAGAACTAAAGAAACTCATAGAAAATAAAATATTTAGCATGTTTTATAAGTATAAATAATACAATAATGTTAAAGTTACTATGAAATATAAATCAACTATAACTTCTTAACTTTCAAATAATTAAAAATTATAATTCCTTATAAAATATTGTGAAACTTCAGATTTTACCTCCTTAAAAATAAATATACAATAAATTTTATCAGTAGTATATTTTAAAATATTACTCCTTCATGAGTAAATATAAAATTATTTTTAAATAAAAAAATAATAGATGTATAATAATTTTGAGAGACATTAAACTAAGACATGAAGATCTAGGAAGTAAAGATATAAATTTTGCTTATCTATTTTTAAAAAAAATATTCAACTGATATTTATCCTCACGAGTCACAATGTTCTCAATTAGTGAATATGCAATAATATGCTTCATTATTTGAGTTATTTACAATTTTCATATTCCTATAAATGAAGAACTTTAACTATTCAGTTGTTAAAGAATTTTGAGAGTTAATAGTGCTAATTAGTGAATTCGGCACATGATTTGCATAGGAACTATTGGGCAAGCCCGAGCGTTAACCGTTAGGTGTATTTAGGGCACATAGTCAGGCTCTTGAGAAAGTAAGCCTCATAGAACTACGCCTCAAACATAAGCCTTAAGGCGTTTTAATAGTGCCTCTGCCTCGTGGCGAGTCTAAAAAAAAATATTTTAAAGCATTGGTATGAATTACTTACATGACGTTCTAGGTCTTTTGAGGTTTGTTAATTAATAGCATTAGAATACAAAATAAATGCAATTTGTTTTTACTATTGTTCAGTTTTTAAAAAAATAATAATATTAACCCTTCAATTGTGCAAGATATTCCTTTTCATAGTGATTTTCTTTCTTTTTTTTCCAGTAGTGCCAATAATTATATGAAAAGCTATCGTACAAAAAAGGTATAATTAATTAATTCTTAAGCAATGAGACTATGAGGATGAATATTTTATATCTGTGATATGTAGAATAATTAAGTAGTAATAGGCTTTTTAGGTCGACATTATTGATCATTGGAGAGTCGAACTTATACTAAATCTTTTTCTTTCTTTTGTACTTGTTCTGATATCATATGTTTTATGTCATGGAAGGGACATGAGGAAGGTCTTCCATGTGCAAGAGAAATGCACGAGAATTATTTTTTAAAAATAATAAAGAAAAGAAAAAAAAATATTTATTGATGTTTCCATTTTCGGATTAAAAAATTATTTCCATTTTATATGTAGTATTGAGGGTAAATAAGTTTCATATGTGGTATTGATAGGTAAAAATCCCTTTTATGGCATATATGTCCAGCCCAGAAAAGATCCAAAAAGGCCCAAGTGCATGGCCTGTTTGAGGCAACAAATATGTTCTTTTGGGGTGAAATTCAAAATAGCCAAATTTACTGGTAATTGAAAAATAACAACAATTTCAAAAGTAATCGAAATTTAGCCACTTTTTATGTAAAGATAAATCTGAACGAAAACACTATTCAAAATTCGAAAAATATTCCAGCATAATATACTGGAGTTCGAATTTTTTACATGTGAACTTCAAGCATAATATACTGGAGTTCTAGCATAATATACTGGTCCAGCATAATATGCTGGAAGTTCATATACAAGTACTCCAATCTCCAATATATTATGCTGGAACTTTCCGTGTCACCAATCTCCAGTATATTATGCTGGAACTTTCCATGTTGTAGCAAAATAGTGGCTATTTTTCAATGACTTTGCAAACGTTGGCTATTTTTCAATTACCAGTCCTAAAACTGGCTAGCCCCTGCTATTTTTACGTTCTTTTGCGGAGTTTGAGTGCCACATAGCCCAAATAATGACCCATTGGCCTAAAGTGTAGTCTTCAATATCAGGGCCATTTGTACAAATAGTCACTCTTAAGGCTGCTCTTTAGTACATGACCACAAATTAAAAGTTAGTGCAACTTTGGCCAGTTATGACCATGTTTTAAAGAGCAGCTTTAAAAGTAGTTATTTTGTAATCAATACAGTAGGTGCAGTTCCACGTCTTGTCAAAGAGGTGGATCCGCCTATTGATGTTATGACTTATGAGGATATAAACTAGTTTCCTAATGTTACATTATGATAAATGTACATTTCAACCTTTTGTTACTTCTGGGTTTAATATTTTAGGATATAAACATTTTTGAATATTTAATACTTTGCTATCAGAGTATCGCCATAAAGGAATTTGGCAATATAAACGAAATTCCAGAATGTTTAAATCTCAGGTTCGAGTCATGGGAAGGAAGAAATACTTAGTAGAAAGCGTTTCCTCCTTAAATAGGTCATACACGGTTCAAATCTAGGTTAGTTGGACCAATAAATTTTGAATACCAGGTAATTAAACCCAAAAAAAAAGTACTTTGTAATCAATGGTCGCGATGGATTTCTTGTTGATTTTTGCTAAATGAAATCTAATTTATATTAGAAAGGAGAATTTTCAATCTCTTCCAATAAATTTTGGTAAGTCTCACTTTCCTTGATCTTTAGGAAGAGAATTTATAACATGTACAACTTCAGAGAATTGAATATTTTCGCAAAACGGCTTAGATCAAAAGATTCCTAATAAAGATGTAAAACTAATTAAAAATGTGGTATTAGTAAGTGATATATTTTATAAATTGAAATATTCAGATGCTGTCTAATTTAGGAATAAGAACCATATTTTCTTTAAAGAACTTTGGTTGCGGCAAAAAGAAAAAAACTACATAAGGGGACCAGCAAAGAGCAAAAGGAGACAGTTGACCCCTTAATGTGCGAAAAATTGTCACCAGTGCCACTAGATTTTATGCCTTGGCAATGCATGAAAAAGAACAGAGAAAGGATTGCAGAAAAGCTTACGGTAACCCAAAGTCTGCAAATCTCAAACAGTCGAAAATCTTCAAATATACCTACCTTCCTCTCACATTGGATCATTACTATCAATATCAGAGTCACAGAAGCCTAGCATCAGAATTTGAAACATCAAGAAAGAACCAAAGACTAAACCTACAAAAATGAAATATTCTGCAAAGATTTTCAGATTAAATTCATCTTACACGAATATGGCTATTACTTATGTCAACTATTACCACGCATTGCTAATTAATGTCTTAAGCAATAAGGCCGGTGGAAACCTTAATGACAGAGAAGACTCCATCTCTGTTACTGATCTCTACTTTCCAGCACATAACTCTACCATATTTGCCCACACAAGCCTACAGTCTAAACTCTAAAATCTAAAAGGCACTACAAGAAAAGGTGTAATTTGTGGAAGTTTTTTCTTAATTGTGTGACGTTTTCGGAGGGGTTTTAAGAAACACCATGGTTATCATCGCCACAAGGCTTTTTGTGACAGTTTTAAAGAACCCCACGACGACCTCCGCAAATTAAATTTGTAATTAGTGAAGGTTTTAAAGTCAATTAAGGGCGGGTTATAACCTCCTTTATATAATTTTAATGCTAAAAAATAATAATTTGTGGGGCTTTGTAATTGTCACAATACGATATGTGATTTTAAAAAAATAATTTTGTGGCAATGTATAACCATCACAATATGAGCTTTACGTTAACAATAATTAATTAGTTGGGGTCTATAATCGCCACAATATAATCTCTTTTATAAATTTTAATTTGGGAGAATTAATTACCCTCACGAGTTGAATATTGAAATGCGCTTTCTTCTCATTAATTATTGCATGATTAAATAAGATCAAGCTTGTATCATCATATGCATAAACAAACAAATAAATTATTTACTAAATAATATTCAGTATTTAACAGAAATCAAATTTCATTAAAACATCCACAATAGCAACAATCACAAATTCACTGCAAATCATACTAAAACAATATAAACTAAAGTAGCTCCTAAACATTACTACTTAAAATCCATAAAAGCAACAGTGGTTCCACATTAAATAAATAATATTCTAAGTATTTGCTTGTTGATTCTGGTAGCTGCTGCCCGATGATCCTCTTACATCCACCGGTGAAGTAGGTTCACTCTCTGCATCATCACTAGGCTGAAATAATAAAAAGCATATTCAGATGAAAAATCTGACCATTATACCAAATTTTGAATGCTTCCTTAAAGACATGATTATCTAGCTATGACCAAGATGAGGACTATATCCTCGTTACAATTCACATGCCTAATAATAATGCTTATGGCATTCTGTTAGACAAGAAGCTATTGTATCTTAAGAGATATAATTTCTATACATGGAAGATTCTCAAGTTAGATCATACATATAAATGGCAATGCTTTCCTAAGTGACAGAAAAACAAGAAGAATTTATACCAGTATCTCCCTACTACATATGAAGGCATGTTTCAGATTCTTCAATCAACCATGCTCAAGCATGTACAATATTCTAAATCATGGTACGCAACTTAGCATCGTCAAGAATCAAATGTACAGTAATGCATTTTACAGTTATCTATTATGCATCCTTCTTACGGATAGCAAATTCCATCAAAAAATTTGTTTAAGATCAATCCAAATTGACAACCTTGCTTTGTGTTTCACTGGTGGGGATGACAGAAGGATTATCTCACGTTGTAGCAATAGCAATTGCGTATTGGAAAGGGAAGATAGTATCAAACAAGGACTATTCCAAAGTTAATATAGCATTGCTCCTCGAGACAGACTCGTCAGTTACTATTATTTGTTCCGCAAAGACTGGTTGGTTAGCACAGCAAAATCATCAGGAAGTTGTCAAAGGTGCTGTTGAAACTCACACAGAAGGTGAAGTGAAGATCATATTTGTCTCAGAAGATGATGTTGATGAACTTAAAAACATCGTCTGTGAAGCTGGATTGGTTAATAACCCTGACTCGGACGATACTCTAGTGGTTAAAGGTGAGGATTTTCATCAATTCAGTGATGAGGAAAGGATGGAGAAAGTAGATAGAATCTACATAATGGAAAATTCCTCCCTACTCACAAGCTGCTTCTTATAAAGTGTTTGAAGCTAAAAGGCAAAGTGGTTCATGTGCTTGGCGAATGCATATCTGATGGTTCTAACCAAACCAAATTAAAAGATAACACATAAGATATATACACAAAGCACAGAACTTCTAATATTCTTCTTACATGTGGTTGAGAAGCAAACAAACCAATAAATTGCTCAGGAACTCTTCCTTCCTTTGATATCATGTAAGCTTTCAGTGCAGTTAAAGTGCTGGCTAATTGGGACTTCAAATGAGTGACCTCTTGTTGCAAATAGCTGAAAGTTGCAGATGATGCGCCGAAGCTAGATGAAGAATGGTTCAGCTCATTAAGTCGTTGTTTGATATTCTTGAATGTATTTGAAGGAGCTGCTCCCATACCCATACATCGTACCCTCCCAGAATGCTCTTTCCCTAACACCTTGCCAATAATATCATCTGAAAAAATTTCAGATTCATTGCTATTACCTTGAGTCGATTCAATTTGTTCCTACAAGCAGAGAAATTATCAATTAGTATTTACGGAAAGTAATTAGATTGAGATGCAAAATGTTAAATAGAACTACAAATAATGTTAGAAAAACACACCACAACTGAACTTACCACTATAGTCCTTGCCTCATCATTTACAAATGATCCATCCTTTCTCCTATGAGTTTCGATAAACATCTTTTCCCGAGTAGGATTTTTCCCAGTTTTCAAAAACTAAGAAAGAGATAAATTAAATAGATTGTAATAAAGTATTTAAATTAGAGAACAAGTAAAACTATTAAGTTAACATGAATACCAGCTCATGTCGTCGTCTCGAGTTAGCTTTGGAACCACTAGTGTGAGGCATTGTTTGCTTGCGGCGAATTTCTTTATTTCTTCTACAACTTTTCTAACAACAAAATAATAACAACTTAAAAAGTTAGTCTAGTATTTAATCATAACGACATCAAAATCTATTCAGATAATCAGAATCTTACAACTGTTGATGATTTTAGACGATAAGCAACAAAACCAGCCCACTGGTCTCTATTTATACTCGATGGCACATTGCTTAAAAGTTCAATTCTACTTTTGGCTGGGTCATTAAATTCATCCCACAACCTATGTCTATGTGTAGCCCATTTCTTGTTCAAACTAGCATTGCAATATCTGTATGCAATGGCATTAGTAGTCCTAAAAAAGAACCGAGGCTTCAAATGAAAAAGAAAAACAAAGTTAGTTTTCTATACAATAATAAAAATTTAGTTACAATAAATAGATATATGTGTAATACCTTTAGCATTATTTCAAAGCAGTCTTCCTTGTATTTTTTAGGAATGCCTGGCGGTCCTGACCACCTGTCAAAATTAATTGGAAAAAAATTACCATCAATAGCCAGTAATCCACAATATACAGCGAGCAACCCTTGCGCTTCCCCATATGCTGCATCGTAGTTATCAAAGTCCACAATGATGCGTTCTCTGATAGGTAGATCTTAATGTGCTTAGTAATGTTGTTTGAGTCTTTAATAAAAAGACAAGTTAGTCAACCAAAAGGAAAAACATCAGAAATTTATAAAGTGAAATAAACATACATATAAGGCATATACCTATTGCCTCTACTTTCCAATATTGTGTAGATTCACGTCCAGGATGGCGTGTGGACATTGCACTTGGATTAGAAGGCAGAGTTGGAGCTTGTTCTTGTTGTGGGACTTCATCAGCTACTGAAGAACTTGCAGGAGCATGTGGGGGAGCTTGTAACGAAGTTGAAGGCTCTATAGCAAGTGACGGGGCTGGAGTTGTTGATGATGAAAAACGTCCATGAGCATCATATGGTCCATGAGCTGATTTTAATGGATTCCGGAAACGTTTAACCTTTGGCATGGCTGCATATTCATAAGAAAAAAAAATTGGTGAATCAAATATGATCTAGTGCACTGAGATGAAGCGAACACGGAACTATGGTAGAACTTTAATTGCCGAAAAATTCTACAAAATTGTCATTTTCACTATTTTATTCAAACAAAGGAAAGGACAAAGAACAACAGAGTAGGGAAGGAAAAGGATGGCCTGTCAGTGACTTAGACATGGGAAATTAAGCATAACATAAACATTAAAATCTGATAGTAAAATCTGAGGAAGAAACGAGCCAAACTCTATTTACCAATACTCTGTATTTTAGGCGAAAAAAGAGAGGGTAACTTTCAAGTTGTAAACTGTGCAAAACTGAAAATCCCAACTCTATGTACATGCAAGTCAACTTCTATTAATAACCCATATAAACAATAAAATACCACTTGTTGTAGACATAATTTAATTTAAAGGATGCATAGAGAATCAAGAAACAAAAAAGCAGAGGCAATGAAAACTGACCAGCTGATTGTCGAGATTTGGCTCTCACGCATGAATTCTTGTTGAGGAGCTCTGTAAAGGGAGGGCTTTCAATAAATAAAAGGTAAAGGTAAGTACCCATGATATAAACAGTTTTATGAAACCACCCATGATTCTTAAACTACGAGGGAAATGAAGAAAAATAATGGAGGGAAAGGAAAAAAAAAACAATGGAGGGAAATGGAAAAAATAATGGAGGCAATGATATTTGGATACAATGTGCAGCCTTAAGATTGCAGTTGAGATTTGTACTAGAAAATTTGAGTACTTTTATTTGCCTATTGGCTAAAGTTAGGGCTGGGCATATCTTGTACGTTAGCTCATAAGATACAAAGTTAGATTAGCTAATTACATTTATGTGAGTTTTTTCTAATTGATGTTAAATGAACTTATTTTATAAAAAAGAGGCACGACTCTGCTCAACCCCATTTCGTTTCGACTCGGTCAAAGATCGGGCTCGATTGAGCTGGCTCGACTAGGCTCATTTAATTCGATTACCCGTGTAACTTTTTCTTTGCAAAAAAAAAATGTCATTATTCGGCTCAATTCGCTAAGTAGTAAATCAGAAATCAACATATTTTAGTTCAATAGTTAATTTTAAAAGTAATAATCAATTTTTTTCTTAATCAATCAATTTAATATGAATATATTTTTGACCATACTCAATCTAAGGTTACTTTTTTATCATATATTGTTAATCATGATCACAGAGAAAATTCAAATTCAACTTTCCTTTCAATCATGATTTTAATATAATATATCAATAAATGAAAATCATTATAGGCATCGATTAGTTTGCGTATATAAACAAAAAGATCTGGCTCGAGCTCGATCAAATTGTAGTAAAGCTCGATTGAGCTCAGCTCGGCTCCATAAGATACAAAGTTCGATCAATACACTTGATGATTAGACGTATGTGAGTTTTTCCCCGTTGATGTCAAATTAACCTATTTTTAAAAAAGAGGCCATGGCTATGCTTGATCCCATTTCATTCTAAATTCGGTTCGACTCGGTTAAAGATCAGGCACGATTTAGCTAGCTCAGCTAAGGCTCGTTTGGTTCGATTAATCGTGTAACCTTTTACAAAAAAAACATTCAATCATTATGCTCAATTGCTAAGTAGTAAATCAGAAATCAACAAATTTTAATTCAATAGTCAATTTTAAAAGTAGTATTCATTTTTTTATTAATCAATCAGTTTGACATGAATTGTTAACCACACTCTGTCTTAGATTAAACTTAAATTATCGTGTTCTTAACTTAATCTCTAAAATTACTTTTTGTCATGTTTTATTAAATCATGATCACATAGAAAATTTAAATTTAATTGTCCTTTAAATTAATATAATATATCAATAAACGGAAATCATTATAGGCATCGCCTAGTTTCTGGACACAAACAAAAAGAGCCGTCTCGAGCTCGATCAAATTATAGTAAAGCTTGGTTGAGCTCAGCTCGGCTTCATAAGATACAAAGTTCAATCGATACACTTGATGATTAGATGTACGTGTAATGACCCGACTTGTCATTTTATGAATTAACGCCTCGTTCAGCGACTTAAGGTCCCGAGCAACTTTGTAATATGTATTTTGACTTGCGTGTGTGGTCGAGTTTAGTTTTCGGAAGATTCGGAATTAAAATAAAAGAACAATTCTCATTTTTGAAGCTTAAATGAAAAGAGTTGACCGGAGTTTGACTTTTGAGCAAACGACTCCGAAATGGAGTTTTGATGACGCCAATAGCTTTGTATGGTGATTTCGGACTTAGGTGTATGTCCGGATTTGGATTTAGAAGTTCGTAGGGCAATTTGGCACATTTCGGCGAAAAGTTGGAAAATGAAGTTCTTGAAATATTTAGGGGTGTCAATGATTTGGTTCGGCCGGTAAATTTATAAATTGTGTACCATACCAATATTTTAGTTATTCTATTATGTACAACCAAAATTAGATTTTTTGAAATCGTCCCAATCATGCCAATTTCTCTTCGGTATCGGTACGATTCGGTTAATTTTCAGTATTTTTTTAAATGACATATAAAAGTCACTATTAAAAGTAGAATGCAATAAAACACGTACTTTTATAGGACTTAGCAAAATTCTCTAAACATTTTTACTGTTTATAAAGCGATAAATTAAGTAAACATGAAAGATGACCAGAGTATAGATCCATCAACTATTCTACAACATCGTAAAAAAAACTAAGCAAATACAAAAATATATATATAAATCAGATGGGTAAAAAGATATTAACCAAGTTGGGACTCAAGAATAAAGTTTATAGAAGATTAATATTCAAAAAGATAAATCTAAATCATATGAAAGGAAACATATTCAACCATATTGTAGTTTGCTACTCAAATCGCTAGAATACCTTGTATCTTACTAGTAAATATGCTGGAAATAATTTAGTTTCAATAGGAGTAGCATAAGAGGTTTGGGAATTAGGATTTTGTGTTTAATTACTTGTGGCTTGTAACTGTTTTCATAATTTCAAACCCCAAGGAAAAATTTAATATTTTATTATTTTTAAACTTAATATATAGATATATTTTTCACATGTAAATTTATTCGGTACGGTTCGGTAATTTTTCGGTTTATTTTTGTAAAATAAAAAACCTACCCTAATTATCGGTACGGTTATATATTTTATAAAAACCTACAGTTTTATTAAAAGAAACCTAAAAATCGGATCGGTATGGTATGGTTCTGTCGGTTTAGTCGGTTTTTAAATATCCATTAACACTCCTAGAAATATTCATAAATTCGACTATAAGTCGATTGGTTGATAACGAGGTCGGATTTCGATTCCAAAAATTGGAACAACTCCATTACGTTATTTGTAACTTGTGTGCAAAATTTGAAGTCATTCCAGATTGATTTGATACGTTTCGGCACAAAATGTAGAAGTTGGAAGATTTGAAAACTCATAATTTGATTCGATGCGCGATTCGCAATTTCGGCGTTGTTTGACGTGGTTTGGAGCCTCGACTAAGTTCATATTGTATTTTGGGACGTGTTGGTATAATTGGTTAAGGTCCCTAGGGCCTCAGGTGGATTTCCGAAGGTTAACGGATTGGATTTTGGACAATGGGAGCTGCTGGAATTTCTGTTGTTCTGGACAGCCGCTGGTGCATTCGCTTCTGCGGCAGCTTCATCACAGAAGCGAGGCAGCTCCTCGCAGAAGCGAAATTGGGCAGGGCTGGAAAGGCATCGCAGAAGCGGAAAACTCCACGTGATTTGCGCAGAGGCGGCATTCTGTCCGCAGGTGCGAGATTGGGTTGGGCAGTGTGGATCGCAGAAGCGCGACTCTTGCTCGCAGAAGCGAGCCACAGATGCGACCAATTGTTCCGCAGAAGCGAAACTGGACAGAACATTTAGGACCAAAAATTCACCAAATATCCCAAAAATAAAATGCAGAGTATAACAACACCCACAGCTTCACTCTTTGCAGTACTGATCAGTAGTAGTTCACAACAATTTGTTTGGTTCAGAGATAAGAAAGACTGGTTTTTGAAGAAAACCCAAATGAAGAAACCTACAAAACTCTTCAAGAATGTCAACAGAGTGGATACCCAAAAGAGAAAACTAAGTAAGAATTCGATAAAAGAGATGTTTCTTTAGGAAAATAGAGTCATACTGAAGGCTTTATATAGGGCCAACGGAAGGACACTAACTGCTAAAAGACACCCAATCCAATAGACTCAGTTCATCCAAAGCAGGCTGGAATATCAATATAAACCAAATTCCAATAACCATTAAAACTACTCAAATCTCGGATAACTAAGATGTGTAGACTTGCATTTGAAAAAACATAATATATTTTACCAAAAGCATAATAAACAAAAAGCTACTATACAAATTGGTTATCGTTTGAAGCCAATGAGTCAACACAGAAAAAGAAATATACACTATTTGAATCCAAAAGCTAGTGTCAACAAATATCCATAATACAAAGTAGTAGTAGTAGTTAGCCTATTAACATTTCTCTAACTCTTGATCGTAATGAAGTCTTCCATATTGCTAAATCTCTAAACATCATAGCGTATGACCTGAAATGATAAAATAAAACAAATGTCATACATAGTTCATGAATGCTAAACCAAACGAAGATAACGATCATAAATAGCAGGCAACAGTACTAGGTTTAGCAAGTAAATGAATACCATAGAGAATTAGTCATTAGGTTGAAGTCACATGCTCTCTGAATAACCCAACTCCATACTTAGCAAATGGATTAATATCAGGATAACGACATTTCTAAGATCTAGCAGCAAAGTGTCATTTACTGAATAAGCTATTTAGCACAGGACCATGATGTAGCACATAGTTTACGAGATTAATTCAAAGTTTATCTCTTAAATTTTCATTTCTAGTCAAAAGTCAGTGTTTAACATAATGAAGTAGCACACGATTTACCTGATTAACACAGAGGCCTACATCTCGCCTGTATAAGTCAGCATATTTGTTCATGGACACACCACTATCAAATTACCAAACATAAAGTAAAAGAAAATGAAGAACCAAATAGCATCTTAAATAACTCAATGTCATGCATATAGGAAAATCTAGCAACAGCCTTAAGATAATTGGGTAAACAAATGGCAAGGAAATTTTAAGTTCAAAAACATCAGAATATCTAGATGCATAAGGTAAGCAGAAAACAAATGTGACCATCTCACAATTTCTAGCCATGGAAACCAGTAAATTTAAAGATTGCAGGAGTAATATGAGATGATTGACTTGGATATAACAATTCCATGTAGGCATACCATATCAAAAATAGTAGTTCACACTTATAAAAAGAGGGGTCACCGGCACTCGAAAAGTTTCGTAAGAATTTGGTGTATGTCGTTAGAAAATAGTACTAATATATTAGTCGTGGCACCCTACGTACAAATCAAATTTTGGTTGCATGCAAAAGTGTCCCCGCAACGCGGCTAGAAGCAAATTTCTAAAACTAAGAGATATTAAGTAACAGTCACAAATTCCTAATCAAGTGGCTTAATCAATCTACCTCATGGACAATGAAGTTCCAAAATATAGCAAACACATGAGAAGACAGAAACTTGTAAGAATAGGAATTGTAAGAAAAGACAGAAACTTATAAGAAACTATCTGAGCTTCATTGATCCAGTAAGTATCCTATCTTCTATTCCATTTTCTCTAATTTTCACCTCCAAAATTTCCCAAACTGTTGTTCTATTTTGTTTGTGCTACAGATATTACAATCCCATATTTCTTACAGTACATCTATTCTTATAAAACACTGCAATGATGATTTGCAGATATAAATTTTCATTACATACTTCCATTTTACCGTTCTTCTCTGTTCGGGATAATATCTTCATGTTCAAATAAAAAACATAGATGATGAATAACAAACGGCTTAATAGCCTCATTTATCTCAAAGGTGTTTCTATTTGAAATTTAACATGTGAAATAACTGTAATCTAACTCATAAATAAAGGAATTAAAACTACTCAACCTATGAATGTCTGAAACTAATATATCATCTTTCAAAAACTTAAGGAACTACTCTGAAACACCAAACTCAATAGTATTATTGTTCTAGTGACAATCTCTGTTGTGACATTGTATCAAATGCCAAATAGGCTTCTTAAGGTAATGTAATATAAACAAATAAAATCAAACCAAGTCACAAGCAATATAGTGTAAACAAGTGAATCAGATATGAACTCTATCGCCTATGGTTATTTCTGAACATACTTTTAAACAAAATAAATGAAATAAGCACTGCTTAATTATGCAATAGTGTTATCTTTTGATAAAGCACCATATAAAGTATGTTTTCTATTCAGACATGTTTGCATCTGCTGGTAAGTTAGTAACAACATTTTCCTCATTAATCAGATGGTCTGTAGCCAGTTGTATATACTCATCTCCATGGCCAAAAAACTGTTCAAGTTCTTGCTCTTGGTAAGGCTCATTCTCATATACTTCATCTTCCACTACTTCTTCTGCCATTTCATACAAATCTCTTGGCTTTAGATGCACATCAACACTCCACCCTTTATTGACTACATCATCCACATAATATACCATTTGTGCTTGAAATGCTTCGATGTAAGGCTCATGTTCTTCACGTTCACCAGTATGAATCACTCTATCAAAATTAACACAATTAAAACTCCAACGATCCTTTTTATACCCTCTATCTCGAGTAGTGTCAGCCCATATACATTTGAAAAGAACCACCTTAAACCGACCATTATAATTAATCTCAATTATATCTTCTAACTTTCTATAATATGGTAAGTCAGCTTGTTGTAAATTTCTGTCAACACTGCTTGCAACACATGATGTGTTAGAGGTTAAAAAAACTCCACTATTCTGTGTTTTCAGACCTTTTTCTCGATCCAAAGTTCGAAATTTGAACCCATTAATGTTATATGCAGTAAATCTTCTTGCATTTACCGATGGACCTCGTGCTAGAAATTTTAGATCAGTAGACATTGTGTCCATTATGTCTGGATTCATAATCTAAATCAAAAAAATTTGTCTTAGTCGAGTTTCCCTATTCGAAAGGAAATATAAAATCATAATTATTGATTGCTTACTCACCCTCCTCAGGAACCAATCAAAAAAATCTTTATTTACTCTCCTCTCGATCTCTGTAGGTGAAGGTCGTCTTCCTCTTGAACTCCTCCTTATGAACTGCCTAAATTCACTACATGAAATAATTACATTAATGTTAAAGAACATGACTGCCATGTTTCAAACATTACAACGATAAAGATGTAAACTTTGTAAGTGTTACTCACTCCACAAATGGCATGACTATTGCACAATTCAGAAGCACATATTAATGAGCTTGTAGTTTCTGCATATGTGTTAAAGGGAAATTTTCAGAAGCTGATCCTGGTTTACCTAATTGAGGAAAGATAGAGGACATTTCAGAAGGCTCCGTGACATTTGGGTCATCACGAACACGCCTAGGTCTATTGAACCTTGTCTCGATATCCTCCATATACCGAGAACAAAAGGTAAGAGTCTCTTCAGCTAAGTAACCCTCCGCTATAGAAGCTTCTGCTTGTGCCTTATTCCGCACAAAGGACTTAAAATGGCCTAATTCCCTATAAAAATAATAGGCACTAAGTATATAAACTATTTAAATTGACCCAGAATACATATGGATTTACATTAGAAATGCTAATGATTTACCTCTCCACAGGATACATATGTCGATAATGCACTGGACCTCCGAGTTTTGCTTCCTGTACTAGATGGACAGTTAAATGAACCATGACTGTAAACAATGATGGAGGAAATAGTATTTCTAAGTGGCAAAGTGTAAGTTCAATGCGCTCTTGGAGCTTATCAAGATCTGAAAGGTTCAAGCTTTTACTAGAGAGGGCTCTGAAAAATGAACAGAATTCCACCAAAACTGCAGTTACATGGTCTGGCAACACATTACGGATCGCCAATGGTAGCGATTGCTCGATAATAATGTGACAATCATGGCTTTTCAATCCAAAAATCTTTTTTTGTACCAAATCAACACATCTATAAATGTTACTTGAGTAACCATCTGGTACTACAACATTCTTCAAAGTTGTAAGAAACAACTTTCTGGTATCACGCTTATTATCACGTGTAGGCGGCATAAGTGAAAATACAGCAAGGTGATATGTTCAATTATCATCCGGCCAAAGATCACGCTTTATGCCCATTTCTCTTAAATCCTTCCGGGCATTAATATTCTCTTTTGATTTTGATTTATCATGGAGCAATGTATATATGATATTGTCGCATACATTTTTTTCAATATGCATAAAATCTAAATTATGACGCAGCAAGTTGGACTCCCAATATGGAAGTTCAAAGAATATACTTCTCTTATTCCATTGCTTAGTTGGTCGTCTTGATCTTTTCCCACTACCATTCAACTCTACTCCTCTCCCTTCTTCTATTTGCCTCAAAATATCAGATCCTGATAGTTTTAATGGTGGATTTCGTTCCTCTGTGCTTCCGTTAAAATGAACTCGATTCAATCTAAATCTATGATTTCTTTTCAGAAAGCGCCGATGACCAATAAAGCACCACTTTTTACCGTGATGAAGACGACAAGGTTCTGTGTCGAAGTTACAAGTTGGGCAAGCAAATCCAATATGTGTGTTCCAGCCATATAGGATACCTAATCCAGGAAAGTCACTAATTGTCCACATAAGTGCTGCTCGCATTCTAAAAGCTTCATTCGATGAGGAATCAAAGGTTTCCACACCATCATTCCATAGCTCACGTAATTCTTTCAGGAGGGGTTGCAAGTATACATCAATATTATTTCCAGGCATCTGCTTTCCTGGAATGATCATTGATAGGATGAAGGAGGTGTGCTTCATACACATCCAAGGAGGAAGGTTGTATGGAATCAAGAAAACATGCCAAATACTATAGGTAGTACTCATTGTTCCAAAAGGATTAAAACCATCACTAGCAAGGCCTAAGCGAATATTTCGAGAATCTGAAGCAAATTCAGAGTGAGTCAAATCAAATGTCCTCTAGGCCTCGCCATCCCTTGGATGCCTTATCACCCCATCGTTGTTACTCCTTGAAGCATGCCATCTCATATGCTCAGCAGTCTTACGACACATATACAATCTTTGCAACCTTGGTTTCAATGGAAAGTAACGCAAAACCTTTGCAGCTTGCTTTCTCTTCTTCTTGGGATCCCATTTAGATGTACCACAATACTTACATGCTTCCAATTCTGAATCACCTTCCCAATATAACATACAATTATTTGGACATGCAGGTATCTTGGTGTAGTCAAGGCCAAGTTTGTTAATGGTTTTTTTGGCCTCATAAAATGAAGGAGGTAACTTTGCATTTTCAAATGCATCTCTCAACAAATCCAGTATCATAGTCAATGCCTTGTCACTTAATCCACACAAGACCTTTATATGATATAATTTTACTACAAACTCTAGCTTTGTGTATTTGCTACCTTCATACAGTGTTTCATTTCCATCTTTGAGAAACTCGTAAAAATCACTCGGATCATCCCTATGCTCCTCGTTTGATATTTCATCTTCACCCAATGGTTGAGATATCTCTACATCATCAGCTTGGAAACTTTGGTGTCCAAATGCATCATGAATCATTGTTTCTATTGGATCTTCTGGGTAAAATGTCTCTTGCATTACATTTATATTTTCAGAAGACTCCGCCGCCTCTGTTACCCGTTTCTCACCGTGAAGATCCCAAATAACATAATTTTGAGGGAATGACTTGCAAATCAAATGATCGTGCACTATATCTCTAGTTTTCCATTTATCAAAACCACATTTAGGACATGGGCATCTTATATGTATCTCCTGCTGCCGAATTATTAAATGCAAATTCTAAAAATTCATCCAAACCAAGTAAGTACTCATTTGTGTTCCTCGGCTTTCCAATCCAAGATTTATCCATTGAAAACTTTATGTTTTTATTAGGGACCAGCCGAATCAATCAAGAAAGAGGAACCATATCTGTCAATGCATTGGGCATGAATGTATAGAGTATACCTCAAAAAAGCAATCCTTCAGATTTGGCTACTTCCACAATCTACTCCAACAATTTCAAGAGCTCCTTCAATCCAAGTTATTTCCAGAAACGTAGAGGAAAGAAAAATTCAATGAGGAATCCAAGCAAAAAAAATTATTACAGCAATCAATATATAGTTATTTGCACATGGCGAACGATCAGAACAAGCAGCAGAGAGAAGGAGGATCTAAAAACCAAAAGAAAACCTAGTCAGAAAGAAGGGATGGAGCAGGACAATGTATACGTTATTGCCGCTTTTTCTAGTTATTGTTGCAGTGGAAGTATCTGTTTAGAGAACTGATACACTAAATAAAAGAAAAGAAAATAAAAACTCCAATACAAAAAAAAAGTTTTATTTATTAACTATGTTATATGTGGAGTTTTTTTTCCCTCCAAAAACATGTGGTGGTTAATAACCTCAAACCTTCAAATATGGTATAAAAAAGTGGTACTATTATTGTGACGTTTTGAAATCTCCACAAAATTGAACTAATTTGTGTCAGTTGCCAAAGCCTCCACAAATTGATGCAATTTGCAGGGTTACCCGTAACCCCCACAATATGACCCCCTCAAATCCCATGACATGAACACCGAGACATGCGCGCTTACAACAAAATTCACCAAAGGCACTGATGCAGCCTTACATGCGTTTACTAGCAATATTCAATAACCATGCAGAGGAAAGGAATAAAGAAGAAGAAGAAGAATAGTGAAGCTAAGAGAGAAGAAGACCAAACTGAAGGCTAACAGTAAACAATTTTGTGAGCTTCCATCTGAGTCTTCCTTTTCTTTTTCCTCTCTTATTGCTAGCTATACAAACAAACAAAAAATAGCTTTGAATTCTCTCACAAATTTCTCGAAAATAAATACTATATCACAGGTTTTCCCCGTACCAAATATATACTCCTTTCACGTTTGCCGTATACCAAATGGACTCCCCACTCATTTGCAATGCCCAAATCTATAGATTCCTCAAATAGCCAATGCTGGTTCGGTTTTGTAATTTCCAACATCCCATAAGCCTCCTGCCACAGATTATTATACAGGATGTAGGCAATGCACAGCACAGCAACTGGAAGTGCATGAAGCTGTGCCCATTTTACATCTTTTCTCTATGACTTTGAGCTCTTGTGAATTATCTTTGCAAATATCAATTTGGTTTGGATGAAAATATAGTCATAGTTCCCCGATACGCTTAACCATATACACCATCTTCCATGTGAATGCTGCAGCTTACAACTCACCCAAGGAAGTTGTCATTATACTGAACTTTGGGCAAATCAACCAAGACTTTTTTTTTTTTATTGCGGTAATTGAACCACTTGGGAATTGCACGTTCAGGGTAGACAATTGTAGAAGGCACTCTTTCAGAAAGAAAAATTCGGTGTAACAAAGCATGAAAGTCATGTTTCAGTGTGTGTATAACTGTGTATTCTCTTATACTGTGTACTTTATTCCATACATCACTTGATTCGCTCTTACCACCAGACCGGAACATTGGGGGCACAGCTGATGCTAATTCACATGATAATTATATAACATCAAAACAAATAAGCAAATTCAGGCAGAACATTGTACTATTTAAAATCCATAATTTCTGAATGGAATTAGTGAGTTTATCAATTTCTTCTTGAGATAGGTTATACGTAATGCAAGCTAGAACGAGACAACACCAATCAGACAGCAAAAGTAGAATGCCAGTACTTGGTGTCAATATAAGTGGCACTGTACAATCAATCTGCTAAACATGATTCTAAATCCCTAGCAAAGAGAAAATCAGACAGGGTCAATAAAATAGAAGAAATCGAAAAATTCTTAGCAGTCAAGAGATGCTCCGAATTCAACGAATGACCATAAAGGGTCGATAAATGGTAGCATAACTTGCTTTGGCTTCAGAGGAACTGCACAATGAAAGAAAGTGATTCTTGCACTGGATAGAGAAGAGAACCTATTCGTAATCACCAAAAGAGGTCTGGCGTTGTAAATCTCCCTGACATCATCAACGTAACTTGAATTGGCATAAAAAGGTCAAAAACATTTAGGGTACAGAGGAGCTCCTATCGTTATAGAGGAATGGTTCCATTTGCGAGAGAGAAGAAAGAGGAAAGAAAGAAGAAAACTATTGGTTGGGAGAAGGTGGTGTAAGGCCGCATGAAGTTACTCTACTAAGATCGTAAAGACTCAATACCACGAAAAAATGGAACTTCTAATTGGCTTTTGCAAATGAACAATATAGAAGTGGAACTCCTTATATAGGAGTCTTAAGTTATTTACGACATGATACATAATCACTCTCTATGCTTTATAAGATAAACTAGTATCGTGCGTTGCACACGTGTTATTCGCGATTAATAAAAATTAAAGACAAGAAGAACAAATTAATGATAAATAGCCCTTGATACTAAAAGTAAAATAAATGTCACATTTGTATTAGATATAGTTGAAGGTTAATTAAGGGATGTCGCACAACACTAACCGGAAGATCGTTCAATCACTAATTAGTTAAATTGCATCTAATTTATAAAATAACAATAAATATGTACCTTAAAATCTAAGAGTAGTTTTAATCTTTGTTAACGTACTACTTTGTTCTAATATTCTAGCTCTTTCATTTCAGAATTGTAACTTGACCCATATTTTTTATTAAATTCATCTTATAAAAATTGATATTAAGATTTTAAAAAACAAGAACATATGTGTTTTTGAATGTTTCTCATTTAGAATGCCAATTTCGAAAATTGGAATAAATTTTTAAAAACCTTAGAAGGATGTTTAATGCTTTTCTTATGACGCCATATAAGAAAATAATGAATTAGTTTTATTAATTAAAAATTACCTATTCCAATTTTAACCATACAAGTATATGATAAATTTCATTAACTAATTATAAGAAGTCAAACAATGAATACAAATTTATTAACAAAAAAAGACTTTAAACCTGAAAAAAATACAATATATTAGAAACTTTCCTAATGTGAATTTTTAATGATCCCCCCAATCTTTTATTTCTTTTTCTTTTTCTTTTTTTTCCTCTTTGCAATTTTTGTTTCTTTTTATTTTTATTTTATATTTGTAATTTTTTTCTGTGAAAAAACCCATAAATTGGAGATTAAAGAATCCTAAACCTAAAAGTAGTTCAAAATACTTTTTTACCTAAAATATTTATTTAATCTGTCAAAATTTTATTAACAAAAAAAAGCTCCTAAACCTAAAAGGATGCAATGCTTTATAAAGTTGATATCCTTATGAAACTTCCCCCTTTTAATCAGTCTTTCCTTTCCTTTTTACTCTTTATAATTTTTGTTTCTTCCTTTTTTTTCGTCTTTGCAATTACTTTGATGAAAAAATCCACTAAAATGGAGAAATAAGAAATTTGTGTGAACTTTAAATTTTAATTCCTTCAATTATTTAAATGCACATGTCCGACATTTCTTGGAAGTTCTAAATTTATAACGATCCCCTTGAACAATAACTCTGTATATGATGTTGATATCAATACAATTATTGAAAATAAATACGCACATAAGTTTTATACTCCCTTCGTTCACTTTTACTAGTCAACTATTGACTTTGCACGCCCCTTAAGAAATACTCATATTAATTAGTGCATAGTCTTAATGGATTTGAAAAATAATTTGGAATGAGTAATTAATGTTAAGGGCAAAACATGAAAAATAAATTATTTTTCTCTTGATATGCAAAAAGTGACAAGTAAAAATGAAAATTTATCTTTAGAATACTTGACAACTAAAAGTTAACAGAGGAAGTAAGTAGTAAGATATAATGCCAAACCTGGTCAATATAGATATTGCAGAAGCAAAACACCATGAATAGAGAAGACTTAGAACTTGCATAGTATTACAGCAAAGACACGATAATAAACCTGTGAAATAATTATTATTTTATTGGTAGAAGAGACTCCTAAATTTAAAGTACGCACGTTGCTCGTGTACCCTATCTCGATGAATAATGTTTTTAAAAAATTTCATAAATATTATATTAAAAACTATGATTGACTCATAAAATAAAAATTTAAGCTTCTCAAATTGATGAACATTGATCCTATATAGGTAATTCAATAAATTATGAAACTCTACCCGATAGAAGTCCTCAATCATCATTCCTTATATTCAACTTAAACTAAGTTTCACTTCTATAATTTCATCTGCTCAACTTCACAAGTAATCATGCTTCCCTTTTAGTTTCAGCATGAACATCATATTATTTGAAATATCTCATAAAAATTATTGTTGTTTAAGTAATCTAATTCTGAATTCAAAACAGCTGCATTTTGTTTGAACTTGTTTTTTGAAAACTATGTTTAGTTAAATATTTTGTGTGACATACTTTTATTGCAAATATTCAAAGATTTGTCAAATAATATGAATAAAAAAATCAATAATTTTGGTGTTTAGAAATTTGAAATAAAAGCCATTTTTTTTAATTTTGAACCAATATTATACCAAATAATTTGATATTAGAAACATCTAATAAAAAATCCAAATAAATAGTTGATGAGAAATTTAAACTTATCCAAGTAATGATTAAAATATTATTTGGCTTTACAATAAAAAAGGTATTGTTACACAAATAGCCATCCAAATTCATTGTTTACTTTTTCTAACCGATACATAAATTATACATTTATTATATATAGTTATACACATATTATACATTAATTATACATCCGCGGGCTATTTTTACTTGAAGAGATTAGGTAGGCGGCTATTTGTATTAATTCTTCATTAAAAAATACTCACGTTTAAAAATTCACTAAAAACAATATTAGTTGATCTAAGAAGTCTCGTATAATGCAAAGAGTTTAACATCTAATATTACTTTTAACATGGTTGATATTACGTGTTTTAAATCATTAACTTAAAAGTTCAACTTTTAACATAATTTACTTTGCAAAATTATTGCTAAGGAAAGTATTTTTATAAGGATAATTTTAAGTTCCTCTATATTAGGAGTTCCTACATTCTTCAAATAAAGAAAGATTTAATGGCCATAATTTTAGTTGATTTTAAACAACTCAATTTTAGGAAAATAATTAAATGACTATTTTGTCTAATGTGAACTATATTTTAAAAGGGTAAAAGAGGCGAACGACATTTCGCTAGAGGCCTTCATGCTTTTAATATAGTATAGATAAATATTCAATTAACTAAAAGCAAATATCCTGGTAAAAATAATATGGGCTAGCCAGTTTTCGGACTGGTCATTCAAAAATAGTCAGCGCTTGCAAAGTCATTGAAAAATAACCATTATTTTGCTGCAACACGAAAAGTTCCAGCATAATATACTGAAGATCGGTGCACCTGTATATGAACTTCCAGCATATTATGCTGGACCGGTATATTATACTGGAACTCCAGCATAATATACTGAAGATCGGTGCACCTGTATATGAACTTCCAGCATATTATGCTGGACCGGTATATTATACTGGAACTCCAGTATATTATGCTGGAGTTCTAGTATAAATATTTTCCCTAATTTTTTTAATATTTATTTAACCCAATAGCATTCAAAATCTAAGACTAATTTTACATTAGAAATAATAGCATTTATCGAGTTACCTTAAACGTGAACTCTTGGTAATCCCCTGAAGACACCAGCTTGTGGAGCTATTCAGTCTGGCCTCAAGCTCATGTGCGCTAGGGTTATCACTTAGATAGGGGGTCCGCATCTATCGCAATTGGTATACGCTTCAACTGCTTTTCTTAATGATTTCGCTTTAACTGCCTATTTAGGTAATTCTAATCGAACAATTCTCGTTTTGACTCGAATTGGCTTGACTAGACTCAACTTCTGGGCAAGCAACCCTTTCTCAGTTCTGCTCTCGAAAAATTGTCTTTCAGACTTGTAAATCAAATGAACTCCCCATTGTCTCGTAATGTGCCTTTGGATAGATGCCTCGAATAGGCCATACTGGTTAAAGTTTAGAACTTGTGTGCCAGAAGTCTGCAGCAAAGAATACAATGGTATGTAGGCAAAGCAAACACACCAGCTATAAGTTCTAGACGTTGTACTGACTTTACACTCTTTCTCCAGCACTTCAAGCTCTTCCATATGATTATTGCATATCAATTTGGCTTTGATGAAAGTATAGTCGTACTTCCCTGATAGCCCTGAATCAGGATCGTGGACACCTGCCCCCATGCAAGTGACACAGCATATAGCAAAGCCCTCAAATCTATCATCATACCAATCCTCAGGCAGTTTAAGCAAGATCTTTTCCTCAGTACTCTGATGTTTAAACCATGTGGGGATAGCACGTTCAGGAAAGATAATACAATAAGTCATCTTATCATCCATGCTGTCTGAAAGAAACAAGCTCAGAATCTCATCCAACACTGAGTTATCATCGCTCTTCTCTGTGTATGGTTGTTGATCAAAACTATAGTTGGTGAATGAGGCCAAACACAACCCTCGGTATACCGACATAGCTAGAATAATTTGTTTGGCCAGAAAATCTTCTGAATACAATTCCTTTATACTTGGAGGAAGTTTGGGAAGTTTCTTAAGTTCATGACAGTGTGTTATGTTGAGATATCGAAGTTGATAAAGTTGACTGATGCCATCAGGTAGAGAAATAAACTTGTTTCTGCTAAGGTTTAGTTCCAATAGAGAAGTCAAGCACGTAAGACCATTAATCTCGTCACCAGATAAATTGCATCCACTGAGATCCAAACTTTTCAATGCCCTCAAACCATGAAATGCACAAGGGAATATCAAACCTGTAGCAGATTGACACTTCATCTCTCGTCTACCTTTTAATGATAGGATTTTAAGTTTGCTTAAGTTTTCCATAGAATCTGGTAGTCGCCAAACGGCAGTGTTTCCAGCATAGAGCTCCTCCAATTCTTCTAGATCACCCAGGCTTTCTGGAAAAGTTGCCAGTTTTAAGCAGCCTTTAAGAATTAAAACTTTCAGTTTTCTCATCTCGCTAACACTGGCTGGGAGTCTTACAAGATTTTCACATGAATGCAAATCAAGCAAACTAATACCAAAGAGCCGTCCTATTGATGAGGGTAGTTCCCGAATTGCAGTACGTCCCAAAAGAAGCTCTGATAGCAATTCCATATTCCCCCGAATTTCTGGAAGAGTATCTAATTTCTCACAACCAGAGAGGTTGAGGCATTCAAGAGATTCCATTTGAATACTGCTTGGTAAAAACTTGAGATTTTTACAGTTCTTCATGTTCAGAGAAACAAGCTTTTTGAGATTGCCAATGGATGGATGAACATCTTTCAAGCTTAAACAACTTTTCAGTATTATCCTCTGCAGGTTTGGAATCTCAGAAAAATTGGGTGTTCGGAGTAAATTCTCTGAAAAACTTAAATTGAGAATCGTCAACTTGACAAATGCCTGCTTATAAAAAAGTAGAAGAATAGAAAGTCAGCTTTAACCAACTCTTTTTCTTTGAAAGAAAACTAAATACTTAAAGAACCGTTATGAAAGAGATCACCAATACCTTTGGTTCCTTGCAAATTTCAACAAGAGAACTAAAAGTCATGTTGAGCCCAACCAGGTTTCTTGGTTGAAAATTTGTTGGTAAAGATTCAAAACTGTAGTAAGACCAATCAAGCCATTTCAAGCTACTGGGGAGATATTCAATAGTGTCAGAAACTTGTTCATAATGTCGGACCTCCTCCCCTTTGACCATGAGTAACCTAAGACAAGGCATATTTCTGAAAGCTTTGCTCCACTTGCATATATGTCGGTCTGAGCCAATTGGTACCATTATGCCTTTTACTGACTCTGTCCACTGAAAATGGAAGATGTAACTACGTTAACCAGAATTCACATCAAAGAGAAAGACTCTATTCTCCTTAGACAAAGCATAATGGTGTTACAGAAATAATAAAACTACTGAAGGATTTGCATCTGGCTTTCATTCAGAGTTGAATCAAATAGTTTCATGACTTTATTAAGAACAGCTTTCTCTTATCATATTATTCAGTTGCTACAGTAGTTCAGTTAAATATACATTTTCCTAATCAAAAAGAAATTATCATATTATACATTTATTTCTCAACTAAAAATGCCCAATAAACTCAAGATTCTATGTTTTACATTTAGAAAATCTCTTTCCCTTACAACAACAACAACAACAACAACAACAACAACCCAATATAATCCCACTAGTGGGGTCTGGGGAGGGTCTCTTTCCCTTAAAAACCTAAAATCTACTAGCTGCTTCACAACCCGTTTTTTAATAAGTTACTTGCTTCTTCAACTTGAAAACCAGCAGAAAATCCTAAGTGGATACATGGAAGTTTCAAAAGAAAATTCATTCGAAAGTTCGTTCCATATAGCATAGCGTCTACGAATTGCTAAACCACAAAAAGCAAATTATGTTGAAACTTATCAAAGGATAGCTTCCCCTATAATCTAAAATAAAGTACATTCAACTATTAGTTCCTCATATAATTCTTCTCTAAGAGGGAGAAGACTTTGCAACAATCTAATTTACAAGAATGACTGGACACGAAGTTTAAGAATGTAAAGAATATTTTTGAATCTTGTGATCTTAAACTAAAAGCGAGTAACATACAAAAAATACTCTTATAATCTTATGGTCTTAAACATGCAAATGAATGTTGGAATTAAAGACTTACCAAATATAAAGAATGGCATTTTTTAAAGCAGACTAGAAAGGAAACTACATCAACAACAATAACATACCCACTATAATCCCACAGGTGGGGTCTGAGGAGGGTAGTGTGTGGGCAGACCTTACCCCTACCTGGAGAGGTAGAGAGTATGTTTCCGATAGACCCTCGGCTCAAGAAAAGATGGAAGAAGAAGAAGAAGAAGAAAGAGGGGGGAGAAAGAAAGAAGAGGGAGACAAAAGACGATAAGGAACAGGAGAAAAAGTAGCATCAAATAGTAACAATCAAGGAGCAACGATTTCCAGTAAAAGGGGACATACTAGAAAGGAAACTAAGACACATAAATTGAAACGGAGGGAGTGCCAAATGTCATCAGTCAAATAGCTCTCAGACAAATAACGGCATAACTGAAAAAAGACACTGCAACAAATTACTTTGAAGTAAAAGTAAATTATATCACTATTTACAGGTAGTAAAGAAAGCGCTCCCTAAGATGTACTTCCATTAAGACAAATAACATGAATGTAGGCAGACGAAACAATATGAGAGATAATCATATGACAAAAGTCAATAAAAGTTTGTAGAGCTGAATTGTGATAACACAAAAAAAGGCACATTAATTTTGTCTTTTTTTCTTCTATTGGCAGGAAACACTTATAGTCAGAGAAAATCAAAAAAATGAACACCATTAAATTGTAAAAAAGAAAAAATAGACGACTCAATGAATCAATCAACTATGCCATGATCTCAAATTACTTTGTATTGAACTATATCAAACCTTTATATTCATCTTGCTTTATTCAAATTAGTATTCACAAGAATCATCATACTTAGTACTATTGTGCCGCTGGCTGTCAACCTACTATAATCCTCCTTTACGAACTTAGGACCGCCACCGGCTGTACTTTGTTCACACGGGCGGAGTTATGAAAATAGAACTACTAGCTCCTAATGATTTAAATAAGACATCATAAGGAAAAATTGGGCCTATGAGTAATTTTCTCTTACTAATATTACTTTAGTGGATAATAGGTCATAAAAATTTGACATTTTTTATCATATCAAAAAATAAAAGAATCAAGAGCACAAGATCTAATACAAGTATCATAATTGAAACAAAAACTCTAGTAATTGTATATTGAGTAGCTATACCAATTCAAATCTCCCAAAGGCACATGTGATAATATATGAAAGTAGAATCCGTAATAAAACTATTCTCATTGATGACCACATGAGAGACACATGCCCGCAAAATAGAAGGAATGTGATTCAGAGATACCAGAGTATACTTGTCACCAAGATGTTGCAATTGATTTAATTAAGAAAACAGCCCATAACTTGAAGTTTACACTATTAAGAAAAATGTTTTAGTCCTAAAATGCTGTACAACTCGATGTCTATTGTCTAGTTTTCACTTTTCATGAATCCCAAAAAATGCAAAAGAAACAAGACAAATCTCAAGCATCCTCAAAATGATTAGAGGAGACACATACCCGATTTGCAGAAAAAACAGTTTCTATATCGTTTTCATGCCATATTCTACTATGGTTCCACGGTTTGTCCTGATCAACATCACGTGCCAATTGCTGACCCATTTGTTCAATCAAATCATGCATCTCAACCATTCCTTCTGAAATATAAAGAAGTGATTTCTTTGTAAGGACATCTATTCCAATCTCTGATTTGAAGCCAAAACTATTTAGTATTGTTATCACAAAATCTCTCCTTTTTCCTCTAAAGAAGCATGCAATATCAAGAAATATATTCTTGTCTTCATAGGACAATCCATCTACACTTAAGCTGAGCTGCTTAACAATTTCTTCATATCCAGTATCTTTGAGTCTATCCAATGCGCTTCCCCACTCAGTTATGCCTCGTTTGTAGAGAAAAGAACCCAATACCGTAAGAGCTAAGGGTAAACCTTTAGCATAATCTACTACAGACTTAGAGAGTTTTAAAAACTCTTTATCTGGAGTCCTCTTCTGAAAGGCATGCCAACTAAAAAGTTCAAGAGCCTCGCATTTCGCCAATTCAGGGACAGAATATAACTCGTCGTGGCAACGAAGTAAATCTGCATTTCGGGTTGTTGTAACAATTCTACTGCCATCACCAAACCAATCATGCTTTCCAACTAAATACTCCAACTGGTGGTTGTCATCCACATCATCAAAAACAATTAAAACCTTCCTGAGACAAAACTTTCCTTTTAACATGTCAGCTCCTTCATAAAAACTTGCTACCTTCAAAGATTTTTCATTTAAGATTCTTGAAAGAAGTGTCTTCTGCAAGTGTTTTATCCCATGCTTCTTTGATTCTTCTCTAACATTTGCAAGAAAACAAGACCCTTGAAACTGATTAGAAATATTGTCAAAGATTTTTCTTGCGACCGTTGTCTTCCCCACGCCACCCATTCCCCATATTCCCACAAAATAAACACCTCCTGATCCAACTTTCAACATTGATTCCACTCCACCAGTACGAGATTCGACTCCCACTAAATACTTCTCAGTTGCTGAAACTGTGTGGTGCACATTTTGAAATTTCTCGTGTACAATCCGATCAATGCATTCTGCTTCATTCCTGTGATGAATAAGAACATAATAATTAATAACAAAGTAGTGAAACTTATTCAATGCTAAGCAGAGTCCATATTCAATGTAATTCTTTATTGAAACTTAATGTCCAAAGAATCAAGATAGTTAAAGTAACCAGAAATCCTGTCGATGTTTTTTCTCTAAGCTGTCCTCTGTACCACCATTTTTCAGATTCCAACAAACAAACAGTTTCATTCCCATTTTAAACAAAGATCCTACTTCGTCCAAACAAGATGCAACTCAAACTAGCTTTTCATCCGTATGTGGTTAGCTTCTGCATTTCGAGTTGTATTTGCTACGAGTAAAAAGAATTGAGTGGAGATAGATGTTGACAAGTGAAAACAATTCCTGGTATTAAAAGGCGTAACATTGTTTGCCGAGCTTTAAATTGAAGAGGAAAAAAGAAATTTAAGAGATAAAGCAAGATTATTCTAGAAAAAACAGTCATTCATGCCTGCGACTCTACTGGTGCCAAAGCAGGATAGACTAAAATTAGAAACTGGTTTATTAACACATGATATTACATCTTTTTATTTTTAGCCAAGAAGCAAGAGGTCTGATCAACACATTCTACCTCCAGTAATAACATTGTAACATATTTGAATCACTATGATAATTAGTCATAGGGGTTTAAATGATTATAATCATGCAAAGTGCTGGGTGTTGCAACTTTGCTCATATAACATTTGAACTGAGCTTGTATGACCCCATCGTGCAGCTAGAGCTCGGTTCAAGGAACACTTTCAAAGTGCTAGCTCAAGCTTAATTGTAAATTATTTTGTGAAGCAAATGTTCAATTTGCTGTTTGAGAGTGATTTTATACTCTACTTTCTTCAAGCCCTTTTTTTAATAAGTAATAGAAAGAGTAGCATTATGTCAGAAAACCAGCATAAAGAAAGTGCTGGTTAGTATGTACAACCCAATTACAAACTGAGCATAGTACAGGTTTTAGACCATTAAAGAAAAATTTTATTAATAAAATCAGCACTAAGTTAGTGATGTATATGTATAGTATAGGGATTACAGAAAGCTCAAACTCCTTTATGATTCTGCAAGGAGCTGAGAAACTCTCTCATGTTACCAGAATCATAAGTATTCTCCATCCTACACCAAAAAGTTGACAAAGAGATACATTTGAACTTAAAACAAAGAGATAGACACTAAGGGTGTGTTTGGTACGAAGGAAAACATTTTCCTCATGAATTCATTTTCGTCCAACAACAACAACCCAGTGTAATCCCATGTTTTGGTTAGCTTAAATGTTTTGGAAAACATTTTTCTCGTGAATTCATTTTCGTCCAACAACAACAACAACAACCCAGTGTAATCCCACAAGTGAGGTCTGGGAAGGGTAGGATGTGCGCAGCCTTACCCCTACCTGGAAGGGCAGAGTGACTGTTTCCGATATACCCTCGGCTAAAGAAAAGATGGAAGAAGCACTGATAGCAAGTAATAGCAAGACAAGAAATTTAGAAAACTAAATCCAAGATAGCAAAAGAGAATATGAAAGAAGTACTGATAGCAAGTAATAACAGTACAAGATATGCAGTGATAGCAAACTAAGAGAGTACCGATGGCAAGTAATAACAGCACAAGATATGCGATAATAGCAAACTAAGGATAAAAGGGTTAGCATACTAACACTAATACTATTAAACGAAGGAAGACAAAGGGAAACGCTCAACTACCTACTAACCTTCTACCCTAATCCTCAACCTCCACACCCTCTTATCAAGGGTCATGTTCTCGGTTAGCTCAAGTTGTGTCATGTTCCGTCTGATCACCTCTCCCCAAGACTTCTTTGGCCTATCTCTACCCTTCCTCTTACCCCAAAGGTCAACCTCTCACACCTCCGGACAGGGGCATCTGTGCTTCTCCTTTTAACATGCCCGAACAATCTTAGTCTCGCCTCTCGCATCTTTTCTTCCACAGGGGCCACTCTCACCTTATCCCGAATAACTTCAATCTTAATTCTATCTTAACCTAGTTTGCCCACACATCCATCTCAACATACTCATTTCAGCTACTTTTATTTGTTACATAGGAGTTCTTGACTGGTCAGCACTCTGCCCCATACAACATAGTCGGTCTAACCACTACCTTGTAGAACTCGCCTTTAAGTCTCAACGACACATTCTTATCGCACAAGACACCGAAAGCGAGCCTCCACTTCATCTACCCTGTTCCGATACGATGTGTGACAATCTACTCATCATTCTGAATTATGGACCCAAGGTACTTGGAAGTTGGAACTCTCTCTCCTGGGAATGACTTGTGTATCAAGCCTCACGTCCCCGTTCGCTTCCTCGGTAACACCGTTGAACTTGCATTCCAAGTATTCTGTCTTGGTCTTGCTCAACTTAAAATCTTTAGACTCAAGGGTATGTCTCCAGACCTCTAGCCTCTCATTAACACCACGTCGCATCTCATCGATCAGGACTATGTCACCTGCAAATAACATGTATAAGGCACCTCCCCTTGAATGTGTCGCATCAATGCGTCCATTGCGAAGGAAAACAAAAACGGGCTAAATGTTGATCCCTAATGCAACCCCATCTCAACCGGGAAGTATTCAGAGTCTCCTCCTGCTGTCCTTATCCGTGTCTTAGCTCCATCATACATGTCTTGGATCACTCTAATATACGCTACAGGCACTCCTTTAACCTCCAAATATCTCCATAGAACCTCTCTTGGGACTTTGTCATAAGCTTTCTCTAGGTCAATCAATACCATATGCAAGTCTTTCTTCATCGCCCTATACTGCTCCACCAATCTCCTCACAAGGTGAATGGCTTCCGTAGTCGACCGTCCCGGTATGAAACCAAACTGGTTCTCGGAAATGGACACACTCCTCATCCTCCCTTCTATCACCATCTCCCAAACTTTCATTGTATGGCTTAACAACTTTATACCCCTATAGTTGTTGCAGTTTTGGATATCCCCTTGTTCTTGTACAACGGAATTATCGTACTCCACCTCCACTCTTTAGGCATCTTCTTTGTCGTAAAAATGACTTAAACAACCTAGAGAGCCATTCCAAGCCCGCCTTACCCACGCTCTTCTAAAATTCCACAGGGATCTCGTCTGGCCCAGTCACTCTACCCCTACTCATCCTGCATATAGCCCCTTCAACCTCCCTCACTCTTATGCGTCTACAGTACCCAAAATCTCGATGTCGCTCTGAGTACTCCAACTCACCCAGCACAATGCTCCTATCTCCCTCTTCATTCAAGAGTTTATGGAAGTAAGACTACCATCTCTGCCTAATTTGTGCCCCCTCCAACAAAAAAACTCTACCCTCCTCGTCGTTTATGCACCTCACTTGGTCTAGACCACGGGCCTTCCTCTCTCTCACCTTCGCCAGCCTGTACAACTTCTTGTCCCTGCCGTTATCCCCAATTTCTTCATATAAACGACCAAAGGCGCGGTCTTAGCCGCAATAACCGCTAACTTCACCTCCTTCCTAGCCTTCTAATACCCCTCCCTATTAGCCCTCTTCTCCCCCTCGTCTTGAACCTATTCGTTCCACGACCAGCCCCCTTTGTGGCCACTAGAGAAACCCTTCGAGACCCCTAGCACCTCTCTCGCCGCCTCCAATTGGAGAAAAATATTTTTTCTATCGAGAGAAAAAAAAATATTTTTCAAAACACTTTTTCAACCTTCCCCATCCCCTCTAACTCCCCACACCCCACCTTACCCACCCTCCCCACCTTGGCTTTTCCCTTTATCTTGAACACCACTATTTAGGAATGTAACAAACACGTAATGGACTTTTTTTTATCAAATTGAACTCATAAACTAGTTAAGTACACATTTATTTACTTACCCGTTAGCACATTTACCAAGATCCCATCCTGCTATATTGGCTGCTTTTTGGAGAGCGTCAGTCCACCTCTGCACCTTCTCCAAATCATTACCCTCGAAATTAGCCTTGTGTTTGGCCATCGCTTTTGCGAAACTACTTTTGGATCTTTGCATGCGTACATCTGATGGGTCAACATTGTAGAATATAGGGATAGCTTCCTGTCCCTTCTTTTCAACACACTCCATAAGTTTGGTGAGTTCCTCCAAACACCATACCGATGAAGCATAATTTTTGGAGAATATGATTATGGCAACTCTTGATTCTTCAATGGCTTTCAATAGTTCAGCTGAAATGGGTCTTCCTCTTTCAAGTTTCTCATCGTCTTTGAATACGTTGACTCCTCTCTCTTCCAAACGTTTGTGGAGATGGGCCACAAAGTTGTTGCGGGTATCTTCACCTCTAAAGCTCAAGAAGGCATCATATTCCCATTTTTTGTTCAATTCCTTTTGGGAATCCATGTGGGAACTTATGAGTACTTGGAATCTAACGAATAGAAAGAAGATCGAGATGAAGAAAAGTTGGGAACATTTAAGTTATTCATTGACTGAGACAAGGAAGAGTCAACGGGGTCAACTTTGCTCATTTTGTTGTTTCCCCTTTTAGGATTTCATATATTTAAATATTTTAGTTCGGTACTAAGGAGTCTTTAAATGTTATACTAATATATTATTTGACTTTTTCCCTTTCTTTTTGGTTTTTCCGAAACGATAACTTTTGTTTGTTCGATTTTAATATTAACTAGTGTATAAAGTCATAAATTTTAATTTTTATAATTAAAATACTCACAAATATAAAACTAAAAATGTTCTAAGCTCACATGACTCTCTTAACAAGATTTTATCCAAAACCAACAAATATTAACCCATAGAGAGAAAAAAATAGTACATAAAGGAATAAATTTTATGATTGAAAATATTTTGTTACTTGCTAAAAGCTAATTGCTGAAATTAGAGAATACAACAAAGACTAATCCAACATATGCAATTCAATAGACGAGAAGAAACACCCTAAAATCGTAAAAGTATTATGTTAAGATGCTTGACATCCTAGAGGTTAAGAACTCGTTTGGCCAAGCTGCAAAAAATTACTTATTTTGAAGAGAAAAAAATCAAAAGTACTTTTTCCAAAAGTACTTTTGAAAAATAATAATTTGTGATCGGCCAATTCATTTAAGAAGTACTTTTTGCAACATTTGTTAAACAAATTGTGTTTAGCCAATCTTCCTAAAAAGTATTTTTGAGTGTCAATTTACCAAAAGGGATATTACCAAGGTCTTATAATTATTGTAAAGAGAAAAATAAACTTAAATATCTATCGTAAGAGGCTTTTATTATTTTTATTTTATTTAATTAAAATATAAAACATAAAGTAAACACACATATTAAAGATTTAAATCAATATAACATATATAGTTATACCAAAATATATAATATTATCTAGTATAATTATTTATTGTCATTGTTCAATATGAATTAGAAGTCTATTCCACAAATTACTATATATTGATAATCCACCATAAAATAGTAAGCAAAATCGTTCACGCATGAAAATATTTCTAAACAATTTCATCTCTAATTCTATCACACAACGCCTCCATATTAGTAGAAGACTTGCCCGGCATTTCTACAAGAATACCAGAAGGCACATCTCCTTCCTCAATCTTTGCAGTAATGTCTTCATTAGCATAATAGCTGAATTCCTTATCGGTAGAAGAATATTGTCGAATGAAATTATGTATAGCCATGGTAATTGTAACAAGATGATTCTGAGCAGTATTTTAAAAGGCGTGGGCGTAAGGCGAGGCATTTTACATATGCCTTAGCGAGGCGTAAGCCCCGAGGCACGGGGCGTAAGTCCCATAGGTATTTAATTTTTAATATTTTATAAAATAATATAATGACATAAAATATTTATAAACATGTAAAATTGCATAAAAATTAAAGAAAATTATAGGTATTTAATTATAAATTATATATATATATATGTGTGTGTGTGTGTGTGTGTGTGTGTGTGTGTGTGTGTGCGCGCGCGCGCGCGTAACTAATCAAAATAATCTATTATACGCTACTTACAAGCACAAGTAATTTGAGTCTAAAAGAATAAAATTCTCTATATGGAGGAACAAAAGGGATGATTAACCTGGAATTTGAACTTTGAGCTTGCTGCTATGAAGGAGAATATAGTTCTCTTTGTATTTGTAAAAAAAAAAATCGTTGCTTTTGGGAGATATTAGCAAACTAGTGGACAAAATAAAAAGTTGGGAAAGACCATGAATTAGGGCTTCAATCAATAAAAAAAGGTCTTAACTTTTAAATTTAATACTTTAGAGTTCCTTTTTAAACCTTTTGAGTAATTACCAAACTGACTTTTGAGAATCTGGGTATTATATGAAGGACTTATTCAACAAATTTTGTTTTAATTTGAAAAAGTCTACGGGGCTTACTCCTCATTAAAAAAATGCGCCTCGAACGCCATACGCCCCAAATTGTTGGACGTACGCCTCTTGAGACTTTCGACATATACCATCGCCCCGGGCCGTTTTTTGTACGTCTCGTCCCGAAAATGCCTTTTAAAACAGTGATTATGAGTGTCAACTTGAAAGATGACATTGAACGTAAAATATAAATAATTTTAAATATATAAAAAATATTTTCGTAAAAAAATAAATAGTTAAGTATGTTTAAATTTAAATTCAAAAAGAGAAACTAATTATTAACAACACATAATGCATAATTTATTTATTTTTAAAATTTAAATTAAAAAAGAATCTAATTATTACCTAAGCTAACTAATTTTGTCTTAAATTGTCAAGTGACCTATTGCGAGACTGTCACTTGACTTAATGTAGAGGTTTCTACTTATTCTTTTAATAATATTTAGAAGATTATGCGTTGCAATTGTAAATTTATTACCTATTTGTAGGTAATTTTCACAAATTAGATTTGATAATTGTCTTAAAGATTCGAGAATTAATAGCCTATAACAGAAGAAAATTATAAATGATTATTTGTAGGAAGAGAATTGATAATCCAAAGAAGGATGTAGATAATTTGCTTTAGCGTGAAAAAAGAAGATTGTCACGACCCAACTCTATGTCAGGCCGTGATGGCGTCCAGCACCGTTGCTGGACAAGCCAACAGTGAACAACTTCGCGATTTCTCTCTTTTTTTGTTTATTAAGCAATTCCAACATTTAGCCTTACTTAAATTTAAAGCATTTAATAAATAACGGATTTTTAAGACAAACAACTGGAAACATCGAAAAACAGTTATAAAAATTGAAATTACAAACCCAAAATCAAAGTCTACTAATACGTGCCAAGATCTGGTATCACAAGTGTGTGGGCAACTAGTAGAATATAAAAAAGATGATCATCGTATTGTCTGAAATAGAATAGACAAATAAAAATAAAAGAGAAACTCTGGCATACTGCTGAACGGCTCAGAAGAGGGCAGCTCACCGTGAAGTCTCGGTCCAAGATCAGGTATGCGCATCAGACGGGTAACTAGATGCACCAACTTCAGATCCTATACAATTAAGTACAGAAGCGTAGTATGAGTACATAAACAATATGTACCCAGTAAATATCCCGCCTAACCTCGAAGAAGTAGTGACGAGGGGGCGGCTTGACACTTACTAGGGCCAATAATAATGTAATTAAAGTATTATGCTAAGTATGAATATCATGAATAATACTGACAGTTAAATAAAGGGAAGAGATAAGTTCTTCTTTCATAATTAAAATTTTAATTTCAGTCATATCCTTTAACGACTTACATTTCAAGGCATTTAAGCAGTATAAATCACGAAGAGTTCCAAATAATTAACATGCGCAATTATGCCGAAGTCGTACGGCCCGGTCCAACATAATATTAAATTGTGCACTGCCGGATGGTCGAACGACGCGAACCATATATGCATCTATTTACTACCGAGGCGCTCGACCCGATCCATAAATAACAATATTTTCAAGAAAACACAAGTTTCTCATTTACAGTCAAGTATCTCATACAAACCTTCAAGTAAGTGAATTTAACCTTATAAAATTCTTTTATCAATTTCTATCATGACTAAGTGATTATATTAGCAAGTAAGGACACAAACATTCCAAGTATAGTATAATATGGGTCCTAAACTACCCGGACAATAGCATAATAGTAGTTACGGACGGACTCTCGTCACCTTGTACGTACGTAACCCCCCACAATTTGGTACAAATATTTTTTTATTTCACTTATGGGGTTAATTCCCTCTTACAAGGTTAGAAAGGAGACTTACCTAGCCTCAAAGCCTACTTCCCAATTCAAGAACGCGCTCAAACCTCCAAATTTGACGCCAAACGACTCAAAACTAGTCAAACATTACATAAACTAATCAATCTATGCTCAAAAGTTCATAATTCCACCGTTTAAGTGATTATCCAACCTAAATTGCAAGATTCCTAAAATTCACTCCTGGGCCCACGTGCCTGGATTTCGAAAATTTTCAAAGAAAATTGTTACCCATAACCTTAGGAACATAAATATATGATTTTCACTAAGTTCCATGGTCAATTTCATAGTAAATCTCATTTTTGTCAAACCCTTAGTTTCTCATCTAAACCCATTATTTCTACCAATTTTCATGTTGGAATCTACCCATAATCTATGTATTAAACTCATAATAGGTAGAAATTACTTACCTCCAAAAGCTAGGTGGGAATCCCTCTCAATAAGCTCCAATAATCGCCCAAAGAGTGAGAGAAAATGAGTGAAAAATGGCTTAAGTCCCATATTAAGTGAACCTCACTGCCTCTATGATTTTTGCATCTGCGGTGTATTGGCCGTACCTGTGGATTCGCTTATGCGGACCAGATATCCACTTCTGCGGAATTGTCGGGCCGGTTGGGGCCGCATATGTGGAAGGGCTCCCTCTTCTGCGTGGAAGGAGCCGCATCTGCGGAACCTGGCTGGCCATCCTTGGATCGCATCTGCGAGGGCTTGGCTCGCACCTGCGGCTGGCCAACCGCAGGCGCGGTTATGACATAACTAGGGAGCTTCAGCTCCCGAAATGGTCTGAGCCTCGCCCGATCGACACTCGGGGCCTCCGGACCCCACCCGAATATACCAACAAGTTTGGAACCATAAAACGGACTCACTCGAACTCTCGGAACGCCCGAAACAACATTAAAACTAAGAATCAAATCCTAAAACCAATTGAATCAAACTTAAGAACTTCAAGTTCTTCCAATTCCTCCGAATACATCGAATCATGCTTATACTACTCGGAATGACACTCAATTTTACGTGCAAGTCTTAAATGACATTACAAAACTATTCTCGGTCCCAGAATTCCATTCGGACCTCGATAACACCAAAACCCGCTCCAAACCGATTTTAAAGAACTTCAAAGTTCTTCAAGAACCAACTTTCACTGTTGGGCGCCAAAATGTTCCTGGGTCATCCAAAACCCGATTCGAACATACGCCCAAGTCCGAAATCATCATACGAACCTATTGGAATCGTCAAATCCCGATTTCGAGGACGTTTACTCAAAATGTTGACCGAAGTCAAACTTGGCCTTTTAAGTC